CCTTGCTCCTGCCCCAGAGCCCCCCCAAGCGTGGTGGGCACACACAGGGTCACCTGGGACCGCAGGTGGGGAGCGGTTTTGGGGTTCCCCCCCCACTATCAGAGGGAGGAAGGGCTCCGGAGTGATGCCGGCAGGGACCGGAGGCTGACGGTCACATCCCCCCCCCACCTTGCACCCCGCAGGCGTGGGCTTCGCCACCCGGCAGATGGCCGGCCTCACCAAACCCACCACCATCATCGAGGTGGAGGGCGACAAGATCACGGTGAAGACCCAAAGCACCTTCAAGAGCACGGAGATCAGCTTCAAGCTGGGTGAGGAGTTTGACGAGACGACGGCGGACGACAGGCACGTCAAGGTGAGCCCCCAGCGCCTGCTCCCCTGCGTCGGACCCCCAAAAAGGGTTTGTGGGCTCTGCTGGATCCGGCCATCAGCTCTTGGCTCTAGGGCTCCATCCGTTTTGCCTTTGGAAGGGTAAAACTGCTTTGCCCGCTGGAGCTGGTGCTCAAGCCCGGTCTCACCCAGCCGATCCCCCCCTCCTCACCCTGTTTTGCAGCAGGGTTTTCCTCTGGAGAGCAGAACGGGGCTGGAGCTGCCGGGAAGGTTGTGCAAGAAGCAGGCTTGCAAACGTCAGCTGCCGCCCAGGGGCTTGCTCAAGAGGCGGCGAGGGGAGGTGGTGGGGTGGTGGCAAGTGTTGTCCCTGCTGCGGGAGGGGAGAGGGACACGAGACCCACTTTTGAGCCCCCTCTTTGCTTGCCCTACAAAGCAGGCAGCCCGGCAGGCAGGGATAGAGCCACTGGGCGATCCTGCCTGGCCGATGCCTCCCCAGGGGCTGGGGGGCCCTGGCGAGGCCGATACCTCCCCGGTTGGGCGGTTCCTCTCTGTAAGAGCAAGGAAAAAACCACCTCGAGAGCGGTCAGAGCTTCTTTCATGGCCTCTCCCACCCCGCAGAGGTGCTTCCCCTCGCAGGACCGATCCAGCCCCTGCTTTTTCCTAGTTTCCCAGCTGCCAGTCCCACGCACCATTAAATACGCCGTGCATGGAGCAGCCGGCAGCCCCGTGCCCCCCGCCTGGCCCAGGGGGGCCTTGGTGGGGGATCTTGGGGCTCCTTGGACACCAAACCCCTTCCTGGCCCCGAAGGAGCAAGCGCAAGGGCTGGGCGCAAAGCGAGGACGGGCTGCACTGGGACGAGCGCGAGCAAGGCGGTAGCGCCAGGCAGACCCAGGGCAGCACGGCCCTGCCCGCAGCGCTGCCGCCGCTCGGGCCCGCCAGAGCTGGTGGAAACTATGTTCAAAGCTCCTGCCCGCAGCCCGGGGACGTGCCCTTCAGGTGCCCCTCTGCTGGTGGCCAGAGGGCACAGG